TCCCCCCTCTGATGAGCCACCTCCCCCCTCTGATGAGCCACCTCCCCCCTCTGATGAGCCACCTCCCCCCTCTGATGAGCCACCTCCCCCCTCTGATGAGCCACCTCCCCCCTCTGATGAGCCACCTCCCCCCTCTGATGAGCCACCTCCCCCCTCTGATGAGCCACCTCCCCCCTCTGATGAGCCACCTCCCCCCTCTGATGAGCCACCTCCCCCCTCTGATGAGCCACCTCCCCCCTCTGATGAGCCACCTCCCCCCTCTGATGAGCCACCTCCCCCCTCTGATGAGCCACCTCCCCCCTCTGATGAGCCACCTCCCCCCTCTGATGAGCCACCTCCCCCCTCTGATGAGCCACCTCCCCCCTCTGATGAGCCACCTCCCCCCTCTGATGAGCCACCTCCCTCCTCTATTAAGCCACCTCCCCAAAGTATCTGAAATAAATAAGCCCCTGGGGGCTTCCTAGAGGATTTATGGTATTTTTAATGTATTAGGCAATCACTTAGCTGAGGGTTTCCTCCCTTTAACTGTCATCAAGTGCTGGATAATGAGCCTCGCCAAGTTACCAGCTGATAGTTTCAAACAAAATTAATGCAACATTAAACATTGGAAAAAAAAATAAACACAGCCATTAACTTGTGACAGTGTATGAAGTTGTTACCAGTAAATACTACCAGAATGGTACATGTAGTGATAACTAGGATGAATAGTTGTGTTGCAAAGCTTAATGACCAAGCTGGTGATCAATTATTTGATTTTTGACAGTGAAGATGAAGAAGAAGACTTCTCCAAAGGAGTTGAGGATTTTGTTGAGGCAGCTAAAAAAAGGAGATTAGAGAGGCAGAATGGCAATGGTGATAACTATTTTCCTTTTGTATCCCTTTAAACCCTAACATCAGTATGCATATTCTCTATACTGTTCTCTATGCATTTCCTGAGGTGCTAACAAGGAGAATTTGTTTAACAATCAAGGGCTGTTTTAACTGGATGATCATTTCCTTTATTCTCATGACCTTAATGTTTGATTCAAGGGTGATATTATAAGGAGAAATTAAATGCTAGTCACTGTTAGGGCTTAAAGGGGTAGTAGAAAATGACATATGGAATAAGTCTTAGTTTTTAAAAGTATTTGTATATTTTTAGTAGGTATAAAGAAAATGATTTTGATTTAGTTTCAGAGTCCAATCTAGGAATAGAATCTTTGATTATTGGAGCTGCCACCTTTGAACGTTCATACAGGTCAGGGCTGGATCCAAACATGTTTGAATCAAGTTCCAAAAGGTTGAAAATTTTTTTTTAAATAGTATTGTAATTATTTAAGACTCATAACATCTGTGTCAAATGCTTGTTTTTTGATCAGTACAACACGTCATAAGCCATCAGAGAAAGTTATGCAGCTGAACTTACTTGGAATTAGAAAAAGGTGTCGGAAATCAGGAATTGGAAAGTTTCTCCTTGAAGTGAGTTTACTTTAATTTTGATACCATGATATTGTGGCTTAACCCCTTCATTGTTTGCTCTGCTTGGTCCCTCCTGGAAGTGAAAGGATAAACATGACAATTGTCATGTGGTGTAGCAGTTGCCCATATGATTCTTGATGTGGTTGTTCTTGAGAGCGACTTCTCCATTTAAGTGACTGCTCTCACAGATGTTTTTATTATTATAGTAACAGAATTACAAGGATGGTAGGAAAGAGTAGTCTGATAATATACCTAGGAGAAGTCTTAGAGAGGACCAAGGCTGTGCTCTAAGGAAAATTGAATGGGGCCCAGTGTTCTGAAACTGTGAAATCCAGGGTGCCCAGTATATGCTTTGTATGAAAAATTAAAATTCCTGAGTCGCCCAAGAGCAAAATTAAGGTGCCAGGGACTTCCATGCACTGCTAGACCACAGCCTTGGTGGACTGTTGGTAGTTCCAGTGAAAGAGGTTTCAACATTTATGTTCACTTACTTTTTTCTTTGTTTATTACGATTCCAGACACTAAAAGATCCTATTATCATCGGTCCTTATGACACTATTGCTGTGTATGCTGATAATGATGCTGTTGATTTCTTCAAGAAAAATGGCTTCACTGATGATGTGGTTCTTTGTAGCAGATTTACGTAAGATTCAAAATTCCTTTCCTCTAAATTCTGAGCCTCATTCTTATTTAAGTTACTTTAAAACTTGTCTCGTGCAGAGTTCTTTTCATTCATAATTCATTGAGTTCTTTGCCTAGTGATTTGACAGATAACTGGATCAATAGTACATTGATGTGTTACCTTCCTCCATTCACTGGTTAGTTCTTTATTTTGATGATGACAAATAGGTTTTTGTTTCCTTGTGATCAGGCATTCCTTTTCCAGAGTATAAAATTGCGACTTATGATAAGTAGAGGTGGACGGGAGTGTTCTCTCTCTCTCTCTCTCTCTCTCTCTCTCTCTCTCTCTCTCCAGACCATGACTGCCCATCACCCACCTCTATCACTTGAAAATAACGAAAAAGGGGGAAAACACAAGTTCACACTTTCTTACCAGGTACGGACTACTCTGGGGCATTTAGAAGTGAAGAAGACCTAAAAGCTATGGATGATGACATAAGAAAATGGTTAAGTATTGAAGGTTTTTCTTGGAAGGATAAAATCTTTCACTTCTTCTTCTTTCCTTTTTGTTATCCTCTTCATGTCCTTTCCCCTTGTGCTTGCCTCTACTTGTTTAAAGAAAAAAAACATAAAAAAGATGGCACCTTTTCTGCAGACTACTTCTGTCCAATTTTGTTTGTTTTTGTCACTTGATCCTCATGGATTTTACTGTTTTATAGGAGAGAAAAAAGTCTTGAGGCTTACCAGGCCCAGGCCACTTGTGTGGTGAGAATGCAGCATGAAATAAAGACTCTCAGAGCTGTTGTAAGTTTGTTTGAATTTTGTAACTATAACAGACAGGAAAAAAGTCTGGTTACATCATCTCAGTTTTTCACCTTATGAAAATCAAATCACAGATGAAGAAAGTGGCTGTTACATGTATCAGATACTTGTTGAAATAGCTAATGTGACGTGTGCAATTTAAGGTTGACACACAAGATGAGGCCATCAAAACCCTAACAAGTGCTAAGGAAAGACTAGTAAAAGAGAAACATAAACTAGGTGAGTTTCTTGTCGTTTACTGATGAGTGAAGAATCTGCAACTTGTAGACAACTTAACACAAAACTATTTGTGTTTCTTGTGCAGAGAAAGAATTACTTGCTTACAAGATGAAGGACAAAGATGGTATTCTAGATAGCAAGGACTGTGACAGTGGTAGGAGAAAAAAGTGTTGTTGGGAATTATTGATGAAACATTAGCCATGAAGAAAACAGCCAATCAAAAGGCAGCATCACCTTGATGCTGCTTGTTGTTAATAGCCAAAAAGGTCCTAAGTGTAACAAGATGTAACAATTCATTTAGTGTTTCTTTATTATCTATCAGTGTTTGTGTTCTTTTAGTCTGTTTTCCTTTTGCTTTTTCACTGAAATTTTGTTCACGGAGTTTAACCTTTTTTTGTTTCTTGCAAAAAGATGATGACAATTTATACGAAGCACTCGCTCACATGCTTAGCAAAAAACACGTGACCGACACGGACTTAGACTGGGACTTGGAGGCCATATCCCATGGAGACTTTCGAGATGTGCCTCAAGGTTGTTTGACTTTCTTTTCAAAGCAGTCATACCCATAAATTATATCTTGCTTTCTTACAGAAGTACTTTATATCAATCAACATTCAGACAAGCTTATCAGTGATTAAACTGCTCAGACATATAAGCTTGCCTTTGAAAACCTCACTTGCGAGGGAGCAAGTATCGTCGTAAGGTGCATGTAACCCCTCCCCCCAGGAAAAACGTCCTGGTATGTTCTCCACTCCTCTCCCCTTGTTTAACAAAATTTGCCTACGCCCTTGACTTGACAACGAATCATCACATTAATCTTGGATCTTTTGATCAAAAGTTACTAACATACAGGATAATTAAAGAAGCGTAGTGGGAGGAAGATGCTGGAAAAGCATTCAAGTTACCTGCACTTTCTGACTGAACATAACAGGCGCAAATTTTAGTAGAAGTAGAAAAGGAAAGGAAGATTTTCCTCGGTAGTTTTCAAAACCTTCATAACTTATAAGTTTTAAGCTGAGAGAGTCAGCTCGCGAAAATTCTAAATGCAGACAGACATGGACCATCATTCTGTTTTGTTGCACTTACTACTGCAAGTCGCCTTTCAGTTTTTCCACGGCCATTCAACCGTATGCTTCAGAAAGGATTGGTAGAACCCTATAACTCCTATGAGTGACCAGGAAAGAATTTCTCTTCACAATATCAATAAACTATGAAGCTGACAAGTGACGAGAATTAAGAAAAATATCATAAAGGGGATTGTTAGTTGATCCAATACCATAATTTTTTACTATAACATCATAACAATTGTATGGCGGACAATAAGGAGAATTACTGCGAGATCCTGGGAACGAAAGGGTCAAAGGGTATTTGAGGCGAAGAAAAGGTATTAGTATAATTTCAGAGCTGAGCAAAGAGTTTCCAGCAATCTGATTGGTCGAGCGGTTCCTTATATGACGCTATATAAACCGCTCCGCGCGGTTTATAAAAAGGGTAAAATAAAATGTTAATAAATGTTAAAAAAATGTTATGGTTTTAGAAATTTCTCTGTTGCTCAGCTCTGAAATTATACTGAAACAATTATTCGCCTCAGGTTCGGTGAATATTGTTGAAAATCCCCGCGACTTCGTCTCGGGGATTATTCGACGATATTCACCTCACCTTCGGCGAATAATTGTTAAATATTTACTGACGGTGGTTCTTTCAAATTTTGCAGAGGATGAGGAGTTAGTATCTTCGTTCATCGCGAGTCGCAGTGAAAAACAGCTTGTTCAGCAGATGAAACGCAGCTTGATGGCCACCAAAAACTATAAATACGTTACAATAAACAGCGTCAAAAGGGTGACTCATCAACAATCAATACAAACGTTTTGGTGCGATAGACACTTAAACAAGCAAAAAAAAAATCATTTGAGCCTAAAACTCTTTTCTAAACTTTCTGTTCATAGGCTTGAGTTGGCTTCTCAATTCCATTAGATGCTAGTGACGGAAGAAGAAGTTTATAAAGTCTTTTGTTGGTTTTAATCGGAGATTTGTCAAATAAGAACGAGATTTTTGCTAGGGAGGAGTTCCTTACTAGTTCCTTGAGTACAATTTCCTGTCGCTGTGTTGTTGCATAGTTATGAACAAATTACCTTACTGGTAGAACTTTGTATAATTGTATATACAGAACTCTTACATAGCTACCATAGGGTTGGGACAGAATAGCGTGCTTACACTATGTTCTAGCTATCATTCTCGCTCAACTTTTGTAGGTGGAGTCTTGCCACATTGCTTTCATGGAAACGGGTTTTGACGCAAGAACTCAAAGACTTGGTGATCCTGTGGTATGCACTCAGTTGTACTACTGTGGGGGCTCAGACGATAAACAAATTGAAAGAATCATGAAACAAGGTTTTAGTAAAGAAGGTATGATGTGGTCTACAGTATATCTTTTGTGCATTTTATCCACCCCCAAAAAATTACTTAATTTACCTACTGATACATCCTAGCGTTTTGTTTTAAGTTGTTGATTCAAATTTGTCCATATTTCAAATTTTCAGATTTCACTCGTGGTCCATATGGCAAAGGTCTTTATTTTTCAATGCAAGCGAGTCAGGCAGCGGCCTTTTCCTCGGTAAGGAGTTGCTCATCTAGTATTTGCGATTAAAGTTCCCTTTTAAAGAAATTTTTCAATCGAGTGTCGAAAGAATTCCGGTTTGCTTTGCTTCGCTCTGTGATTGGTTCAGAAAAGTCGCACCACTCTCTCATCCAATCAGATTTAAAACTTAAACCAATATGAGTTGGTCGGCCGCGTTTTCCCGCGCTATATACAGTTTGGTCGGTTTCAATTTGACTTCTCATTGGCTCTTGAAGGTATTTTCTTTTCTTCTGATTGGCCGTAGTGATTATTTTGATTTTGGTTTTACGACATTCACTCGAAAAACGCTCAAACCTGGTAAAGAAATACTCTACCTCTGAACTGATGGGGGGGGGTGGGGGGTCTTACCAGATTAGTAGGCAACGGATGCGTAGGCTCCCTCGACCATCAAGCCAAACGGGGAAAACAAATTTCTATAAACTTTTTCAGCACACGTTTTTTTTTTTTGTTGTTTTTTTTTCTTTATCGAAGGTACGCGCACGGCAAGTCCTTTGATATGAACTGTTGCGCCAACATAAATTGCCTCTCACAGCGTACATTGTTAACTCTAATGGGGAGCATAGATGTGCGCGTAGTCAAACGATGGAAAATGTGCAGGTGTAACATTTGTTGGAAACTACATTTGGTGGAAACAAAACACGAAACTTAGTTTGATGCATTTAACTTATGCTGGGCGGTAACCACATGTATAAATGATATGTTTTTAAAAATTTCAGCCTGGAAAGCTGCTATTGTGTAATGTTGGACTTGGTTTGACTGAATCTGTTGTGGTTCGTGATCGTGGAAGGTAAATGAATCAACGTAATTACTTGGAAAAGGCGACTCGATTGTATGCAGTTTACAGATCTACTGGACATTGACTATTTGGTCATGTTACTATGTACAATGGTGCTAGTATCATACTCTAACAAGTATACCAATAGACATTTAGAGGACTAAATCTCATGTTGTCACTTTTAGGACATTACCTCCTCCAGGATTTGATTCTATTTTGGTGAGTTGTTGTGTTATTTAAATTACAATTATTATCACTACACGTGGCCAAATGACAAACTGCCCTCTCTTAAACGCTCCTTTTCGCGGGCCAAACGGCAAAGTGCGGGTTGTTAATGGTATTTGTCGCCCTGATATATATTTTGTTAAATGAATTTGTACGATTTGGCCTTGTGCGATGATAATACTGGTAATCACATAACTTTTGGAGGGCAAATAGATTTGCACCCTCGCGGAGCGCTGGTGCAAATTATGCTACTCGGGCCACAAATAAACATGTGCCCTCCAAAAGTCGAGTGATTGTCCTGTTTCTATTTTTAGGTTCTTCAGGAGAAATACTATTTAGAACTTGACGCTAACACTCAATTGTTTATCTCAATAGACTGGTGGTCGCCCACCCTCGCCTGTCTTTCCAGGCCACCCGCAGCAGGAGTATGTAGTGTTCGACCCTCTCCAGGTTAAGTGTTTGCACCTGATGAAAATTCTCTCGAGCAAATTTATTTACATTTCTTATCAATCAGCTTGTTTTCTAGTCGATTGGTCTCCTGAGTATATTTCATTTGATATCTCTGCTCAGTTCTTTTTTATGAAGTACTTATTTATGTTATTCCTATTTTTCTTAAACATCCCCAGGCCATTCCAGTCTATCTTGTGGAGTATTCAACCTCTCGATGACCTTCCAGAGCAGAAGACTTTTAGCTACAGTACGGCTCAGCTGGAATACTTCTTTGAAAAAAGCAGATCGCGATGTAAAAATACTTGTTTTAGATGAAATAAACTCATCAATATGTGTGGTATAAATAGGAACTTTTTGCGCATAATTTGGGTTTGACACGAGTAGAGCGCGACATTTAATGCCTGGGCGGACTGTGCGTCCATTGCTCCCAGACGATAATCTATTTGTGTTTCTTTTCGTCTTTTTCGTTATCCTCTGAGGACAAACTTTCCAGGAAAGTAAGACGTCCGATAGGGAAATGATGGACGTATGTTTGGTCGATAAATAGACTGAAAGCACCCGTAACATGGCTAGTGACATATTTGCTGATCTAGTTCTTTCTGGCCACCGACAAACATACCTTCTTACTTTCTGACCTTCCCGGATCTATTCTATCGACATATGCTGCCTTCAAAACTTGCTTGTACGACTTAGTGCAGAATCGTAAAATTATTGATCACAATCACAGCCAAGTTGTTAAACTACTAGTTCCTAAACTACTAGTTTCTAAACTACAGAAGGTACGTACAATCCGAATGAAAATCAAAATAAAAGTGGCAGAGCCATCTCGGATTCCGCACTATCCCCCAAAACTAGCGAACTTCAAAGACGCATGATGAAGCACAAGTTGCCATAACTCTCCAAAGTCCTGTCTTTTTTCTTAATCAACGGGCGTTCACAAAAACTGGACTGGATCGGATCGGATCGGATCGGATCGGATTGACAAAATCTTGACCGGATCGGACCGGATTAACAAAATCTGGATCGGATTGCGTCCGATTGACAAAACCCGGACTGGGTACGAAAAAAATCGGATCGCCGAAAATAGTCCCGAAAATAGTCTCGCCAAAATAGTCACGTAACATTTCATGATCAAGTTTTGGCATAGAAATACGACTGCCTTTTTTTCGC